CAAAAAAAAAAAAAAAAAAGGTAGGCTTCCTGGCCCTGTTCTGAAAGCATATAGGTACATGGATTAAAAGGCAGTTCTCAAACTAGGAGTGGTGGCTCATAACCTAAGCAGAGGCCATGGAGGATCCACACCTATTGGCTTGCTTCTCATGGCTTGCTCAGACTTTTTTATCATACCCAAACCACTCACCCAGGGGTGGCAGTGCCTACCTTGAGCTGAGCGTTCCCACATCAATCACTAATCAAGAAATCGCACCATAGATAAATCTGGTGGGGGCTTTTTTAATTGAGGTTCCTGCTTCCTAAATGACTCAAGCTTATGTCAAGTAGACCAGCAATGACCTATCACTCCTTAACAGTACACACACACACACACACACACACACACACACACACACACACACACGGTCAATCTAAGCCTAGAATGTGGTGAGAGCCTAGTGTAAAATGCAGAACACTCTGACAACTCACTTCCCCTTTTCTTTCAACCAGTCTGGATTCTTCTCTTCTTCTTTCAAGTCAGAGAATTCAGGAAGATCAGTGCTCAGGGCTCTCCGGGCCTCCGCTTGTTTATGCAGCCACTACAATGAGAATGCAGTTTGGTGATGGACATCACCTATGCTGGTTTGTGCAGTCAACCTGACATTATCAGCAGTCACCGGGGAGAAGGGTCTCTAGCATGGCCGGGGCGGGGAGATTATCCTGATCCCACGATCTGATGTGAAGAGAGTCATTTTAACTGTGGGCGAAGCCACTCCTGGACTGTGTCCGTGAGGAGAGCAGTACAACTGCATTCATGTTCTCACTGAGCAGCTGCCTCAAGCGTCTGCTGCCTTCCCCACCATGGCAGACTGTCCTTGCGCCGTGGGTTGACGTAGACCCTTTCCCCTTTAAGTTGCCTTTGTCAGAGTGTTTTAGAACACCAAGAGGAAAAGAAGCCAGCCAAGGAGATAGAGCAAGGTGGATCTTCGAGTTCAAGGCCAGCCTGCTTTATACAGCAAGCTCTGGGCTACACTCAAGACCTTGTCTCAAAAGTAAATAAGTAAAATAAGATGAAAAAATAAATGAAAAAGAAACTGAGACACCATCTTCATCTATTTTGTACTGCTATTCAAAATATCCAAGGCTGACATTTCAGAAGGAAGGGGGGTTTCTCAGAAGGAAATGTTGCTCACAGTTTGAAGGTTGGAAAGCCAAAGTTCTAGACAGCATCACCTGGAAGGTTCTACTGCCAGCCATTTGGCTGTGTCACAGCATGGCAGACGGCGTCGTCTGGCTGCAGCACACGTGAGGGTGGATGTGAGAGATGGAGAGAATTTCTTATCGAGACAGGGTTTCTCTGTGTAATATTCCTGGCTGTGCTGGATCTCACTCTGTAGACCAGGCTGGCCTTTAACTCACAGAGAGCCGCCTGCCTCTGCCTCCCAAGTGCTGGGATTAAAGGCGTGCGCCACCACCACCGGGCAAGATGGGAGAGATTTTATATGGTGAAGGAGAAAGTGAGAAATTGGGGGAGGGCTAGACTTGCATCTCTTCAACAGGCTGCTCTAGGGAAAAACAGCCTCTCCTCAGAACAGTAAATACCAACACCTCCCAAGGACAGTGTCACCATGACCTAACCAACTTCTACTAAGCTCACCTCTTGAGGTTTACTGCCTTTGAGCTGGGCCTGGTAGCACAAGCCTAAACTCTAAGCCACTTTCTCAGGCAGGACGGCACAAGTTCAAGGCCTGCCTGGGCTACAGGGAAGGAGCTACCATCCTAAATTCCTTTACTTTATCAACCTTCTACACCGTGAATCTTTGGAAGATGCCCCCTAGGCCATGTGTCAAAGGTCCCCAGCCTGTGGCACTTTTATGAGGTTGTGAACCCTTCAGAAGATGGAACCTGGTGAAAGGAAATCAGGTCACCAAAGGATGAGCCTGAAGAGAACATCAGGACCCTGGTCCCCTCTCTTAACCTCTTGGCCACCATGAGGTGAGTGGGCTTGCTTCTCTGGGATGCTGAGCCTAGCTGCTGGTCCCAAAGCAATGGGGCTAACCAACCACAGACTGATGCCTCCGAGAGCACCAGATGAATTAAGCATCCCTCCTTGTAAGCGCCTTTCTGAGTCACTTTGTCACAGGGCTGCGACACTGGCTAACATGGGGCAAAGCAGATCCCAGCCACAGAAGATACAAAAGGCTCATGGAAAACTTTAGTTATGGGCCAGGCATGGTGGCGAATGTCTTTAATCCCAGCTCTCAGAAGCAGAGGCAAGTGGATCTCTGTGAGTTCTAGGCCAGCCTGGGCTACATCTGTCTCAAATAAAACAGAACAAAACAAAATTTATTAGCATGTGTGTATGAGTGGGGAGTATGTTCACATCACATCATACACGAGGAGCCAGAGGACAACATGGTAGAGTCAGTACTCCCCTTCTAAAAGGCCTTGTTCTTATTAATAGTTTTAGATTTCTCACCTTTGCCCAGAAGGCAAAAATGTCATTTGGATCAATGGGCTGAACAGTTTGTCAAATGGCAAATACACATGTTAAAGGCCTAACTATTGTGACAGTGTCAGAGATAGGGAAGTCAGGAATGCCATGGAGTTTAGATAACACTGTGATGACCTTAGTCTCTTCATAAAAGAAAGAGATCAAGGGGCTGGAGAGATAGTATAATGGTTAAGAGCACTGGCTGCTCTTCCAGAGGACCAGGGTTCAATTCCTAGAACCCACATGCCAGCTCACAACTGTCTGTAAGTAGTTCAAGGAGACCCAACACCCTCACACAGATATACATGAAGGCAAAACACTAATGCATATGAAATAAAAATAAAAATTATTTAAAATAATAAAGAAAGAGATCAAAGCCTGCTTTCATCACCACTATGAGGAGACAGAATGAGGGCCTCACCAAGAGCCTTTGGTAAGCCCCTGATAAGAAAACTGAGAAATGAATGTCTGTTCATTAAGCCACCTAATTTTAGGTATTTTGTTTACAGTGGCTGCTGTGGGACAATGGTCTTGTATCCTGTCACTTATATTATTTTAAGAAAACCCTGATTGGCTAGTAGCTAGACAGGAAGTATAGGCAGGGCAACCAGGCAGGAAACAGAGGCAGGGTGACAAGAACAGGAGAATTATGGGAAGAGGAAAGAGTCAGTCTGCAGTTGTTATCCAGGAAGCAAGATGAGAATATCTCACTGATAAAAGGTACCAAGCCAAGAGGTTAACACAGATGAGAATTATGGGCTAGGCCGGGCGATGGTGGTGCACGCCTTTAATCCCAGCACTCGGGAGGCAGAGGCAGGCTGATCTCTGTGAGTTCGAGACCAGCCTGGTCTACAGAGCTAGTTCCAGGACAGGCTCCAAAGCCACAGAGAAATCCTGTCTCGAAAAAAAAAAAAAAAAAAAAAAAAAAAAAAAAAGAGAGAGAGAGAGAATTATGGGCTAATATAAGTTATAATCATTACTATAAAGCCTGAGCTAATAGGCCAACCAGTTTATAATTAATGTAGACCTCTGTGTGTTTCTTTGGGACTGAACGGCTGTGGAACCGGGCAGGACAGAAACCTCTGTCAACAAATGGCTTGATTTTATAAACCCACTACTTAATGGTTATTTTAAACTTTCAGTATTTACAAACTTTTAAATGCTTTTTAAAAGATTCCTTAGCTAGTTGAGATCAAATAGATATGTGTTTCTAGTCCAGAACTAGAGAGATTCTCAGTGGCTAAGTAGTGAGTAACCCTATTGGTCTTCCAAGAACCCAAGTTCAGACAACAGCACACGTATCAGGTGGTTCACAATCACCTGGAACACCAGCTCCATTTGACCCAACACCTCTAGTCTGAAACATCCACACTTGTGCCCATACCCACACACAGGAACACATATATACACACAACATATTATTTAGAAAATAATATATCCTTTTTAAAAGTATCTAGTCCAAATTAGGAATTCATGTGTATATTATTGCACCATTATTGGTTGTTTTTTGCTAGTTTGTTTTGCTATTTCTAGATAGTCTTTGATCATATTTTTGTTGTTTTTTAAAATTTGTTTAATGATTTAATGAGTTATTTATTTATTTTTATTTTATGTGCTTTGGTGTTTACCTGCAAGTATGCCTGAGTGACGATGTCAAATCCCCTGGAGCTGGAGTTACAAACAACTGTGAGCTGTCACATGAATGCTGAAAACTGAACCTGGGTCCTCTAGAAGGGCAGACAGTACTCTTCCTGAGACATCTTTCCAGCCCCTACTCATTTATTTGTTTGTTTTTGTTTTTCGAGACAGGATTTCTCTGTGTAACAGTCTTGGCTGTCCTGGTACTCATTCCATAGACCAGACTGGCCTTAAACTAACAGAGATCCACCTAACTCTGTTTCCTGCAGGCTAGTATTAAAGGCATGCATTACCACTGCTCGGCTATTTATTTTTTAAACAAATTCTCTCTATGTAGCTCTGGCTAGTCTAGAACTTTCTTTGTAGAATAGGTCGGCCTCTGAACACAAGATTAAACATATATTACAATATATGTTTAGATAATATTACACTATAGACCTTGTGGCATGTACCATGGGTTCAGTCACCAGCACAACTTAAAGCCACACAACATGTTAGTACAGACTGAAGTGAGAGATTCACAAGTTCAAGACCAACTTGGGTTAACTGTGAGTCTCAGGCCAATCTAAGCTATATAGTGAGACACTGTCTCAAACAAACAAACCACTAAAACAAAACATACAACACAAAACAAAGAAATCCAAAACCTGATTTTTTCCTTTCTTCTTTCTTCCCTCCTTCCTTCCTTTCTTTTTTTGAGACAGGATCTCTCAACACATCCCTGGCTATCCTGGAACTCATTGTATAGACCAAGCTATAATGAATGCACAGACATCCACCTGTCTCTGCCTCCTAGTGCTAGGATTAAAGGTGTGTGCCACTACACCCAGCCCAATGCTAATTTCAGTAGACTACATAATGAAAGCATTCCTCCAGGGTGACACTGACTGAAGTGGTGCCGGCTTAACTGAGGCTAGGAGTGCCTACCTCCTCCTCTTCTGCCACTTGGGATTCGCGAAGAGCAGTTGGGAATGCTCGAGGGGTAAAGCTGATTTGAATATTGCCAGCAGACCGTGGTGCGGGAACGCTGTCTTCCTTTAACTTCTCAGAAAATATGTTTTCCCAATTTCTCCCTTCAAAAGCAATGGTAGCAAATAAGTCTTTCATTTCCCGTTTCATTGTCGTCGTTGTTTATTTTTTCAAGACAGGGTTTCTTTGTAGCTTTGGAGCTTGTCCTGGAACTAGCTCTTGGAGACCAGGCTGGCCTCGAACTCATAGAGATCCACCTGCCTCTGCCTCCTGAGTGCTGGGCTTAATGGTGTTCGCTACCTCTGCCCGGCTTATTTCCCATTTCTAACTAACAAACTAACTTTTAAGATAACTATACACCAAAACTAATTCTAAAATTAATAACAGCGGGGTGGTGGTGGCGCACACCTTTAATCCCAGTACTCAGGAGGCAGAGACAGGCAGATCTCTGTGAGTTTGAAGTCAGCCTGGTCTACAAGAGCTAGTTCCAGGATACACAGGGCTGTTACACAGAGAAACCTTGTCCCAAAAAAACAAATAAATAATAATAAAATAAAATTGACAACAAATAAAAATAAATAATAAAGATCAGTAAGTAAATGACAAAGCATGGCAAAGTTAGGGCGCGTGAGACAGGGCAGAGGTAAAGCCCTGCCGCTGCATGGCAATTGCACCACACAGAAGTAGAGAGAATTGGGTGGCTTTTCAGTACAGCTCTCTGTGCAGAAGGAGACTCCTCTGTGAGTTCAAGGCCAGACTGTTCCACCTGGTAAGTTCCAGGCTACCCAGGGTTAGTGAAACCACATCTCATTAAACAAAAAACAAAAAACCAACTCTACAAAGTCATTCTCTGACCTCCCCCATAGGTCATACTCACATAATAATAAAAAAATAAAAATAAAACAAAGATATTTTCTGTAATAAGGAATAGAATACTTAGTATTAACAAGACAGCAAGTCTATTCTTTTTTGTTTGATCGTTTGTTTGTTTGTTTGAGACAGGGTTTCTCTATGTAGCCTTGGCTGTCCTGGAACTCACTACGTAGACCAGGCTGGCCTCAAACTTGCAGAGATCCACCTGCATCTGCCTCCTGAGAGCTGGGATTAAAGGTGTGTGGACCACCTCCCAACTAGCTAGTCTATTCTTTAATCAATGACCCATTCCTTTTCCAGGTTCAAGGTTGAACCTCTGTCTAGTTCAGATCGATCCACTGTGGGGGAGACACACTAGGCAAAGCCATCACTGCCCTGCCTCCTCCAATTCCTATGCCCCAAGCAGCGTCTCTCTACACACTTCCTAGAGAAGGCAAGTGAGAAAGTGACAACAATGCTAACAAAAGGCAGACATCCTCACATCCTCATGGGCAGACATTCTTACAAAGGCAGAGGCAATGACAGTGGAGCCAGAATGAGCGGAGGAACTAAGCCATGTGCTAGGATTCCTCCATAAAGACGAGGGAAGACGGCTGTCACTTAGAAACACTAGAATACCTAAGAGGATGCACAGACGTAGGCAAACATTACAACGGGTGGGAAAAGGATTTCCAGACAAGAAGAGATGAGAGAAAAAGAGTAAATATAAGGAAAGGTGAGGCTGGAGAGGTGGCTGAGCAGTTAAGAGCACAGGCTGCGTTTCCAAAGAACCCACGGCAGCTAACAACTGTCTGTAACTCCAGTTCCAGGGTGTCCAACATCCTGGCACAGATATACATGCAGGTAAAACACCAATACTAAAATAAAAAATACATAAATAATTTTTCAAAAAGGCTGTTACACAGAGAAACCCTGTCTTGAAAAAACAAACCAGAAAGAAAGAAAGAAAAGATAGGGACCTTTTTAGCTATGTGGGGCATTTAGAACAGCTTGGACTACATAAAATGCTATCTCAATTTAAAAAAAAAAACTGTGGTTGTGTGTGTGTGTGTGTGTTAGATTTAGCTCAGAGTCTAGCAGCTTGCCTAGAAAAGCACAAAGCCCTGGACTTGGTCCCCAACAGTGAGGGGAAAAATAGGTGGGCATGCCTAAAATCCCAGCATTAGAGAAGTGGATGTAGGAGGGTCAGAAGCTCAAGGCCATTCTTAGTTGTGTTGCAAGTTTGAGTCCAGCCTGAGCTACAGAAGATTCTGCCTCAAAACAAATGAAAGCAAAGAAGGTAAATTAGTTGTTTGTTTTCCTTGTTCTCTGATTCCATCATTACTCCAGTCCTGAGGCTCCTTCCCTCTAACCCGTCCTTGCACATAGCGCGTTCCCAGAGTCTGCTCTTGGGGTTTGTTGTTTTCAGTGTCTCTCTACACTAGGTATTTATGGAATGTAATAGATGACTACCACGTGGCCAGTGATGGAGAGTGCCTACAATCCAAACATCTGTGGTCGAGGTCGGAGTATCACACATTCCAGGATGCCCAGACCACACAGCAAACCCCTCAGAAAAGGGCTTTCATCTTACATCCTCATATTGTATTGCTTATTTTCAGTATACCAGAGCGTGGCCTATGCCTGCAAAAAGGTTTTTTAAGAGAGAGAGAGAGAGAGAGAGAGAGAGAGAGAGAGAGAGAGAGAGAGAGAGAGAGAAGGCACCTTACCTCTTTGGGGGAGGCGAGCAGCAGACGGGGCCTTCCTGGGCAAACTCGGGGGCTTCGGTGCTCCCCTCTCTTCAGCTTGTTTTCCCCGTTGGCATTTCTCTTTCCTTGGGATGCTCTTTTGCTTTTCAGCTTGTCTTTGACTTTCTTTCCAGGCTTCCAATTCTCTAGTTGCTTTCTTCCGTTCATTTTCTTTCATATCTTCTATTTTTTTCCTCTCTTCTTCTTCAATCTGTAAACATTGTAATTAGCAAGTCCTTTAGAACATTCAGAAAGCAACAGCTGTATGCGTGATATGTGTGTGTAGCGTGTGCTTGTGCTCATGTGAGTGTCTGCACCTTGGGATAGGAGCTGAGTGCCCCCCCCCCAGGTTTAATTGGCACTGAAACAGTAAATCATGCTGTGGCTTCTGCACACCTGTGTGAGCGGCATCCTCACTGATGAACTGAAGGACACCAAATGGGCAGCCCCCATCTTCCCTCTCTGCTTCACTTCCCAAGACTGTGCATGTAGGATGTCCTACGTGGATGGCATGTGCAATAGTGGGACAGTTTACAGGTTGGTGGCCAAGAAGCCGGTGACACAGCTCAGTAGCAGAGTATTCGCTAGCACTTAAGACAACCAGTTCCCCAGCACTGAAACAGAAGATGAGTGACCAAGAGAGGTAGTTATCCTGACTGAGCCAGTTCTAGCAGATGCCTTGAGTCCGTCCTTTTTGGGGGAAGGGGGATATAATGATTGACCTCAAAATCAAGATCCTCTTGCCTCAGCTTCCAGAGGCCCAGAATTATACTATCATGCCTGGTTGTCCGTTTTCTTTTCTTTCTTTTTTCTTTTTGGACAGGCCTCACTATGTAGTTCTGACTGGCCTGGAACTCACCATGCAAACCAGGCTGATCTTGAACTCAAAGTTCTGCCTGCCTCTGCCTCCTGGGTGCTGAGATTAAAGGTGTGTGCTATCGTGCCCAGCTCTTTCATTTCAGTTGTATGTGTGTGTGTATGTGCTCTTGAATGTGGGCATGGGCGCAGGCATGCCACTGTGCATGTGTGAAAACCAGAGGACAATTCGCTGAGTTGACGTCCTCCTTCCCCTTGTGTGTCCTAAGGACTGAACTCGGGCCATCGGGCTTGGCAGAAAACACCTTTACACCCTGAGCCCTGAGTTAGTTTTTGAGAAAGTCAGCTGTTGTAAAGCCCAAAGAGCCCCATCTCTCCGGCTTTCTGTCTTGCTATGTGATCTGTCTTACACACTGTACCTTCAACAAGTACATGGGCTGCCTCATCTTGGACTCCCAGCCTCCAAAGCTGTAAGTTAAGTGAATACCTTTCCTTTATAAAGTCGCTCAGCTTCACATATTTTCCTTGTCTCATCATTGCTGAGGACTAAATTCCTGCCTCCAGCATGCTAAGAGGGTACTCTACCACTGAGCTACTCCCAGGAATGCTGCTACAGTAATGAGAAACAGACCAGGGCCTCTGCCCAAGGCTTATACACTAGGCACCAAGACAGTAACCACTGCCTGCTGACAGCTCAGAGAGTTGTCAACTGGAGAAACCAGGCAAACTGCACAGAACAAAAAGAAAACCCTGTGCAATGGTCTGCTCTGTCCCTTTAAGAGGAAAGCCACGCCCCAACCTCCCCACTCCTCATCCCCCCCCCCATCCCTGTCTTCAGCTTCCAGTGAGTCCTTTCCTTTCCCATCTCCTTCTTGAAGAGGGAACTTTTGTCTATCCCTTCTCCCACATCTCCCCTTCTCCCTTCCGTTTCTCTCTCTCCCTCCTCTTCTCCCTTCTCCCCTTCCCTTCCATAACACACTAAATAAATATCCAACCTCACTCTGCATGGCGTGTCTATCCATGTCTCTGTCTCTCACCTACCATGTGGCTCCCTGCCCAGGACCAACCACCTTCTGCGGTGTGGTCTCATGACATGCCCATCTGTCTGTCTCTCTTTGTGGGACTGGCTGCCCCATCGAGGTCTCTAACCCACCATACAGCTCCCTGCCTGGAACTCGCTGCCCCCCATGGCCCACTGCAGCCACTTGGGGAACTATGCTGTCCCTGCCTGGGACTGGCTGCTCTCAGGACCTGCTGCCACTTCGGGGACCTGTGGCATGGTTTTGGGACCCACTGCCCATTGCAGCCACTTGGGGATCCACAGCATTTTACTTAAACCATAACACCCTGCACTTACGTGCCTCACAAAAGGGCACGATGAAGTCAGAGAGGACACCACAATCTGAAAGATAAGAATTTGCTCCATCTAATAACAAGTATGTGTTGCGGAATATTTGTGTACACTGCAAAGATGGGACTCTGACTAAAACACCTTCTGATTGGTTTAATAAAGAGCTGAATGGCCAATAACTAGGCAAGAGAGGATAGGCAGGATTTCCGGGGAGAGAGGAAGAGGAGGAGGAATAGAGGCACTTGGATTTCACCAGAGGCTGAAGAAATAGGACAAACAGTACAAAACAGAGGTAACCAAGCCACACAGCAGAATGTAGATTAAAAGAGACGGGTTAGGGTTAATTTAAGTTATAGATGCGAGTTAGAAAAAGTCTAAGCTAAGGCCAAATTCTTATAATTAATAAGTCTCAGTATCATTATTTGTGAGCTGGTGGCTGAAAGGAAAGTCTGACTACAGGTAAGCCTTCATTTTCTCTGCACACAGTGCAGAGAAGAAACATGTGAGGAGTGGGACAGCTCGCCCTCGCCGTCCCCAGCTGTGCCCCCGCACCACACTCCCAGTCACAGCTTCATGTTCTTCACGGAACAGTGCTCATTTATAAAATCCTCAATCATTTCTAGATGCCAAAATGAAAATTACAGAGAGGAAAGTATTTGCAGATTGGACAGACTTGCTTGAACAGAGGCAGAAGATTAATTAGCATTTATCTAGAGCCAGAAGTTGGGGAGACAAGGTCTATTTAGCTCCAGTTGTCCTGAAAGCAAAAAAGTGCTTTCATTTTTAATGATTCTCAATATCAATGCTTTCCCTTCAGGAAATTTCATATGGGCTTTGGTAAAGGATTAAAATGTGTACAATGGCAGCTTTACTAAACAAAATAATTTTTTGGAAAAAAATCTCCACCACTGTAGAACCAGGAATTCCATTGTGTCCTCCTAATGACATCAAGAACAGAATATTACAGATTTACCAGGTATACTTGATCCCAAAAATGAAATGCCTACAATTCAGATCCAGAGCCTGAGGCCATTAAGGGCAAGAGTTCAGTTAATAAATACATAGAAATCAGAATGGTATGGTATAATGCGAAAAGAGTTAAGACACCAGGACCTTCCCTTTTGGGAATGTTATGAGGGGAACAGGCCCATATAGTAAGACCAAGATTCAACGCAATGCCCATCAAAATCCCAGCAAAATACTTCAAAGACCTCGAAAGAATAGTACTCAACTTCATATGGAAAAGCAAAAAACCCAGGATAGCCAAAACAATCTTGTACAATAAAAGAACTTCTGGAGGCATCACAATCCCTGACTTCAAATTCTACTACAGAGCTACAGTACTGAAAACAGCCTGGTATTAGCATAAGAACAGACAGGAGGACCAATGGAACTGAATAGAAGACCCAGATATCAATCCACACATCTTCAGCTGGGCAGTGGTGGTGCACGCCTTTAATCCCAGCACTTGGGAGGCAGTGGCAGGCGGATCTCTGTGAGTTTGAGACCAGCCTGGTCTAAAGAGCTAGTTCCAGGACGGGCTCCAAAACCACAGAGAAACCTGTCTTGAAAAACAAAACAAAACAAAACAAATCAATCCACACATCTTCAAACTCCTGATTTTTGACAAGGAAGCAAAAAATATCAAATGGAAAAAAGAAAGCATATTTAACAAGTGGTGCTGGCATAACTGGATATCAACATGTAGAAGAATGAAAATAGACCCATATCTATCACCATGCACAAAACTAAAGTCCAAATGGATCAAAGACCTTAACATAAAGCCAGCCACAATGCACCTTATAGAAGAGAAAGTGGGAAGTACACTTGAACGCATTGGCACAGGGAACCATTTCCCAAATATAACCCCAGCAGTAGAGACACTGAGAGAAACAATTAATAAATGGAACCTCCTAAAACTGAAAAGCTTCTGTAAAGTAAAGGACACGGTCAACAAGACAAAACGACAGCCTACAGAATGGAAAAAGATCTTCACTAACCCCACATCAGACAGAGGGCTGACCTCCAAAATATACAAAGAAATCAAGAAATTGGACACCAAAAGATCACATAATCCAATAAAAAAAAAAATGGAGTACAGACCTAAACAGAGAATTCTCAACAGAAGAATCTAAAATGGCTAAAAGATACTTAAGGAAATGTTTAACATCCTTAGTCATCAGAGATATGCAAATCAAAACAACTCTGAGATTCCATCTTACACCTGTAAGAATGGCCAAGATCAAAAACTCTGAAGACAACTTATGCTGGAAAGGTTGTGGGGAGGGGAACACTCCTGCATTGCTGGTGGGAATGCAAGCTGGTACAACCTCTTTGGATGTCAGTGTGGCGATTTCTCAGGAAATTAGGAAACAATCTTCCTCAAGAAACCAATAAACCACTTTTGGGTATATATCCAAAGGATGCTTAATCGTGCCACAAGGACATGTGCTCAACTATGTTCATAGCAGCTTTGTTTGCCATAGCCAGAACCTGGAAACAACCTAAATGCCCCTCAACCGAAGAATGGATAAGGAAAATGTGGTACATTTACACAATGGAGTATTACATAGCAGAAAAAAATAACAATAGCCTGAATTTTGCAGGAAAATGGATGGAGCTAGAAAACATAATTTTGAGTGAGGTAACCTAGAAAGACAATTAAAACATGAACTCACTCATAGGTGGGTTTTTTTTTTTTTTTGAGACAGGGTTTCTCTATGGTTTTGGAGCCTGTCTTGGAACTAGCTCTGTAGACCAGGCTGGTCTCGAACTCACAGAAATCCGCCTGCCTCTGCCTCCTGAGTGCTGGGATTAAAGGCGTGCTGGCTCATAGGAGGTTTTTAAACATAAAGCAAAGAAAGCCAGCCTACAAACCACAGTCCCAGAGAACTTAGACAACAATGCAGACACTAAGAAAGACTTACACAGATCTAATGTACACGGGAAGTAGAAAATAGAAAAAGACAAGATCTTCTGAGTAAATTGGGAGCATGGGACCTTGGGAGAGGATTGAAAGTGGGGGAGAGAAGCAGGGAGGGGAGCAGAGAAAAATGTAGAGCTCAATAAATATCAATAAAAATGTATTTAAAAAAGACTAAGAAATTGTAGTATACTGTCTGCTCCCCAGAAGAAGTCCTTTTCTCAAGGTCAGGCATTTGGATAAAGGTCTCGGTTCCCTTGCGAACCTGAGGAAAGTTTATGCTTGATAAAGCAGTCATTTTTGATAAAGCAAGAGGATCTTGTGACCCTTCATTAACATATGACTGGGGGCTGGAGAGGTGGCTCAACAGTTAAGAACACTAGCTGCTCTTCCATAGGTCCTGAGTTCAATTCCCAGCAACCACATGGTGGCTCACAGCCACCTGTAATGAGATATGGTGCCCTCTTGTGACTTGAAGACAGAACATTGTGTATGTAATAAATAAATAAATCTTAAAATAACCTATGACTTGTGAGTAGTGTCAAGGACAATGCTAGATTCCTCAACTCCTGATCTCAAACCACACCCCAGCTCACAAGCCCTTGTCTCCAATTTAATCCAAGATGCAACTATGTAGTATAAAAGATATAATCTTTTCTCAATAAAAAGCTGCAGGCAGTCATCCTGATTCACCCTCAGATTGTGTGCCCCACCCCACCCCTGCCCCCAGAGTCCATGGCATCCTCTTTGGGACCTGAAACCTTAGCTGAAGCAGGTCTCCAGCAAAGTCCTACAACCAAACACCAAGAAAGGACTGAGATTGCAACTAATGTGTATGTTTGTGAGTGTGTGTGTGCGGGGGGGGGGGGGGGNGGGGGGGGGGGGGTGTAACTGGGGATTGAACCCGGGTCTCAAACCTGCTAGCCAAGCCCTTTACCATTGAACTGTTTGTTCACCCCTTCCTTCCTTCCTTCCTTCCTTCCTTCCTTCCTTCCTTCCTTCCTTCCTTCCTTTTTGTTTTGTTTTTTTCAAGACTTGGTTTCTCTGTATCTTTGGCTGTCTTGGAACTCTCTGTAGATCAGGATTGCCTTGAACTCAGAGATCTGCCTGCCTCTGCCTCCCAATGGCTGGTATTAAGGCATATGCCATCACAGCTGTTAAGGCTTGACTTCTGATCATCCTGGTTCACCATCTGAGTAACTGGGTGGCCTGCACCCCCACACCTGGCTGAACTTATCTTTCCCCAGCGCATCATCATCTCCTTCAGTGAGTCTGGAGGTCTGCAGCTCACCTTCATCATCACACCTAGCGCGTATCTCTGATCTTCCCGCTTGGCAGTAGCTTTTGCTTCTGTGGCCTCTTTTGCTTTCTCCTGTGCTTGAAGAATAGATTTTTCCCTTATTCTCTGCATTGTCTCTTTGTCAACTGCAACACAAGGGAAAGTATGTGTAATGGTCTGTCCTGTGTGATGATGAAGGTGAATTAAAGGATCTGCCTTAATCAGGTCAGATACACCCCTCTCAATTCCCTGGTCCTAAAATTTTTTTTTCCTAGACTTTGTCCACTATTCAGCCAATACCTGAAACAGGTATAAGAAACACCAGACATTTCCATACCACAAACACCGGACAGGAACAAAGAGACTAGCTACCCCGGGATGTGACCAGCATTCAGCTTTCTCAGGTTTGCCCCCAAGACGACATCTACAAATAAGCAGGAAGCAGTCTGGAGAATCTGCTGCTCCAATTCCTTTAACCTGTTATGTCTAGCCTCCTGCCTTTTTATTATAAAAAAGAGATGGGAATGTAATGGTCTGTTCTGTCCCTTTAAGAGACAAACCCTACCCACTCCCTCCCCTGTCCAAGGAGGCAAGCTGCTCTCCAGCTTCCAGCCTAAGTCCCTTCATCCCCCCCCCCCTCTCTCTTCCTCTCTCCCTGAGGCAGCTTCTGTCTCTCCCTTCTCCCTACTTCTCCCCTCCCCCCTGTTTCTCTCTCTTTTTCTCTCTGCCTCTCTCTCTGCTCTTCCCCTTTCTCCCCTTCCCTTCCATAACCCACTAAAATATCCAACTTCACTATGCATGAGGTGCCTATCCATCTCAGCCTCTCACCCGCCATTGGCTTCCTGCCTGGGACCTAGCTGGTTTTGTAGCCTGCTGCTCACTGTTCCACTTGGGGACCTGTAGCATTTTACTTAAACCTGATTACAAATCAGGATTATGATTAATTTGTTTTATTAAGGTGAAAAGCACTTATACTGATCCAGGATAAGATTTCTTTAGATCCAATTTGTTAAGAAGGGAATGATTTTGAGACAGCATCTTTTACAAGCCCCAGGGTGGTTTTAGAGTTGTGATCATCTTACATCAACCTCTTAAGAGCTGAGAAAGCAGCCAGAGCCAGGCAGGGCTGGCGCATACCTTTAAACTTAGCACTGGGGGGCGGGGGCAGAGGCAGGTGGATCTCTGTGACTTTGAAACCAGTCTGGTCTACAGAATGAGTTCCAGGACAGGGTCCAAAGATACACAGAGAAACCTTGTCTTGAAAAACAAACAAACAAACAAAAAACAAACAAGAGCTAAGAGTGCAAGCATTCACCGCCCTGGGTTACCACAATGCCTAGCGTAGAAACTTCCTTTTATTTTTGAGTTAGGGTTTCATGTTGTTTAGCTTCCTCAGTGCTTGGATCACAGGAATGTACTGAGCTCTCATGAAAGACACCCAGCTCAAGTGAACAACTTTCACTAAAAAACTTACCACCCGGCATAGAAAGGGTCTCCCACATAACTGGCTCCTTTTTATACAACGTAAAGAGAATCATGTCATTCCCAATCTTGGCCTTGCTATTCCCATCATCTATGGGAGCATAGAGAAACACCTCAAATAAAAACGGGGGAAAGTTGACCTGTTCAGAAGAGAGAAAGCAGGCATTAAGTTAGCTATACAAATTAAAGACACTGCCATTAAAAAAAAAATAGGTCTGGGTTGGAGAGATGGTTCAGTGGTTAAAAGTACTTGTTCTTGAGAAAACCTGGGTTGTTTGCAGCACCCACGTGGGGACTCACATTCATCTGTACCTCCAGTTCCAGGAGACCTGACACCCTCTTCTGAACCCCAAGGGCATCAGACAAACATGTCACACACACACACACACACACACACACACATTTAAAAAACTTACATTTATTTATTCTGGAAAAAAAGTGTTATAGTGGGGATACAGTTCCCAGCATGGTGTCGGATGCCTGAAATCTGGGCACTCAGGAGGTAGAGGCAGGAAGCTCAGACTTTCCAGGTCATCCTCAGCTGCAAAGTGAGTTTGAGGCCATCCTGGGCTACGGCAGACCCTATGTGTATGTGGGTGTGGTTTTCTGAAAACCCCACTGAATTATTCCAGGGAACATAAGTTAGCAAAGTGAACGTGGGTATATGATGAAGCATGGATGAAAGTAATCTCTGACCAGAACGTGCCTAGGGATGACGCCACAGAGATTTGTCTTCCTTGTTACTTTAATGAGATTTCCGTGTGCAGTGTATGTGGGTATATGAGTAGCGTGCCATGCACGTGGGCGCCAGAGAACCGAGGTTGTGGTCTCTGTGGCAGTGCATCAACCCACCTCACCAGCCCGAGAATTATTATCTAGCTATTTATTGGTTGTTTGTTGTTGTTGTTGTGGGTTTATTTTGCTTGTTGCTTTTTAAAAAAGAGTTTCTCTGTATAGCCTTGGCTGGAACTCACTCTGAAGACCAGGCTGGCCTCAAACTCAAAAAGACCCACCTGCCTCTGCTTCCCTAGGGTTGGGATTAAAGGCGTGCATTAGCACCAGACAGCTTAGAGTTTTTTTGTTTTGTTTTTTCAAGACAGGGTTTCTCGGTGTAGCTTTGGAGGCTGTTCTGGAACTAGCTCTTATAGACCAGGTCTTATAGACCACAGAGATTCGCCTGCCTCTGCTTCCCAAGTGCTGGAATTAAAGGCATGCACCAGCTTAGAGTTTTTTTTTTAAAAAAGTGAAACCCTGGGCTGGAGAGATGGCTCAGTGGTTAAGAGCATTGCCTGCCCTTCCAAAGGTCCTGAGTTCAATTCCCGGCAACCACATGGTGGCTCACAACCATCTGTAATGAGGTCTGGTGCCCTCTTCTGGCCTGTAAACATACACACAGACAGAATATTGTATACACAATAAATAAATATTTAAAAAACCCAAAAAAAAAAAAAAAAAAAGAGGACTTTAATTGAGGTCTAGCCAGGCAGGTGGAGCATCCTACCAACCCCAGCACTTGGACATCTGAAATAGGACTGCCTAAAATTCGATGTCAGTGTGTGCTACAGAATAAGACACGCCCCCCATAAGCTATTGGGGTGGGAGAGATGGCTCAGGGGTTAAGAACATGTGCTGCTCTTGCATAAGAGTGGGGTTTGGTTTCCACACCCACATCGTGACTCATAACCATCTGTAACTCCAATTCCAAGAGATCTGTCGCCCTCTTCTGGCCTTCGGTGGTGTGTACACGTATGGATGCAAACATTCATACACATACATATACACACAGCAGCTGGAAATGTAGCTGGGGGGTGCAGCATACAGGGGCGTCTGAGTTTTATCCTTAGCATCACAAAAAAAGTAAAAGTAAAGATGTAAATTAAAATTTAATAAAACATGGAAATGTAGCCAGGCGGTGGCGGCACAAGCCTCTAATCCCAGCACTAGGGAGGCAGAGGCAGACAGAGCGCAGTGAGTTCGAGGCCAGCTTGGGCTCCTACACAGAGAGATCCTGTCTCGAAAAGCAACACCAACAACAACAAAAAAAGTAAACTCAAAGGACACAGTGCAGTGCTTCCTCAAAGCAGCCCCTGCCCCCGAGGCGCGGGGCAACCGCAGCCTCCGCCCCGCCCACCTTCAGGTAACTTTCCCCGCAGAACACATCGGCGTCGCGCACGCACACGCCGCGCAGAGGCAGCGACAGGAAGACCGCGGCGGGCGTCTGCTGCCAGCTGAACTCGCTCACCCGCACCGGCATGGCGGGGCCAGGGACGCGGGAGCCACCTTGCGTCGCTAAGAAGCCGGTTTGGTTGCTAGGAGAGCAGGGATCGCAGGGCTGCCATCATTTCCGGCCCTTCGGCCCTCCCAGGTACTTCCGGGTCATGGGTCCAGGGGGGCTCCAAGCTTCCCTGTGCTCCTCCTGCGGTCTGATCATTCCTGGATCTGGAGCATCTGGATCCTAGCTGCCTCTTAGCCTGAGGGAATGAGGAAGAAGTAGAGCAGGACACTCTCTAGTCCTGCTAGATGAGATGAGTCCCGGACACGAGATGGCTCGGGGATCAAGAGAATGCGCTGCGAATGCACTGCCCTTGAGAGGGTCCGAGTTCGGTCCCCGGCTCTCGTGTTGAGCTGCTCACAAGCGCCTTTAACTCCAGTCGGATGCCCTCTTTTGGCTTGCGAGGTTACTGCACTCACACTCAAACAGATTAATTAAACAAGAATAATTTCAAAGGGAATTTTTGTTAAAGGAGAAAAGAAGCTGTGGTGTGGCTCCCTGGGAGAGACCGGGCTTGCCTTGGGATTCCCGGCACTGGAAAGGAAAACGCTCGGGGCTTTAGAATGCAGAGGGATTTGGGTCAACAGAGCTGGGATGTGTGCATGGTGACACCCATGCACTTTTAGACTCAGGACCTTTGGTTTGACCTCATTTCCTGGGTATTATCAGTGTGGTGGTCCGAAATCTCAGCTCTTAGGAAGGCTGAGGCTGGAGACTCCAGGCTGACCTTGAACTCAGACATTCACCCGCCTCAGCCTCCCGAGTGCTGGTGTTAAAGGTGTGCGCCACAACACCCCAACCTGGCTTAAACTGACGTTATCTAAGAAAGACTCTAACTCTCTGCAGCCCAATCTTCTCTGAGACAAAGCACAAGATCCTTATGTGAAAAATGTTTTCATGAAGGGCCGGAGAGACCGTTCACAAGTTAGGAGCACTTGCTGCTCTGCAGACCTAGGCTCAGTTCCCAGCATCCACAAGGCAGCTCACGACTGTCTGTAGCTCCAGTTCCAGGAGATCTGACGCCCTCTTCTGGCCTCTCAGGGCACTGCATGCAAATGCGCAGACATACTCCAGGCAAAACATTCAAACACATCAAATAGACAAATCTAAAATTTTAAACCTGGAAAGCATCCAAGTGTTTCTGAAGCATATATACAACACAGACTATTATATATGGATAGAAACAAGTAAATTATCGCTATACACTAAATGGATGATTGAAAAAAGAAAGTCAAAAAATTCTTAAGGGCCCAGGTAAAGGAGCTTGCTGCCAAGCCTGACAACCTGAGTTCAAGACCCAAGGCACACATGGTAGAAGGAGAGAACTAACTTTGGCAAATTGTTCTCTGTCCTCTACACATATAACAGATAAACAAAATATATAAAAGAAAGATTCTTAAAGGAAAATACTATTCATTCATTCATTCATTCATTTTGAAGACAAGGTATCACCGTGTAGCTCAGGCTGACCTAGAACGTGCTATATAGCCCAGGCTACTGATCTGTTGAGAACCCCTCTCTTTCCCTCCTGCTTCTCTCACTGTGTAGCTCAGGCTGGCCTTCAACTCAGTCCTCCAGTCTCAACTTCTCACCCTCCCTGGTGCTGGGATTATACCTATGTGACCCCACATCCCACTACTCACCAGGGCCAAATTTAAAAGTTTAAAACGAAAGATATAACATGTTTGTAGCCCTGGACCAGGCTGGCCTTGAACCCACAGAGATCTGCATGCCTTTTCCTCTGCTTTCAAGTTCTAGGATTAAAAGTGTATGTCACCACGCCCACCAAGTAGTTTCTTATGTATTTTATGTGTTTGGGTGTTTTGCCTGTATGTCTATGTACCATGTTCCCACGGTGCTCAGAGAGGCCAGAAGAGGGCATCAGATCCTCTGGAACTGGAGAAGGTGGTATTTTGCTTTATGGGTGCTGGGGCTTGAACTCCAACCTTTGGAAGAGCACCCAGTGCCCCTCTCTCTAGCTCCTCCCCACCCCAAACCATTTTCTCTTCTCTTCTTTCTCTTTCTTTCTTTCTTTCTTTCTTTCTTTCTTTCTTTCTTTCTTTCTTTCTTTCTTTCTTTCTTTCTTTCTTTCTTTCTTTCTTGAGATAGGCTTTCTCTGTAGCTTTGGATCCTGTTCTGGAGCCAGCTCTTGTAGACCATGCTGGCCTCGAACTTACAGAGATCTGCCTGCCTCTGCCTCCCAAGTGCTGGGATTAAAGATGTGCACCACCATTGCCCAGCCCAAACCATTTTCTTGATCATGGTGGCTTCCCTACAAGGTGAGTATTTAGTAGTGTCTTTCTGCACTGCTTACAATATTAAAGTTGCACAGATTTTGTTTGTTTGTTTCTATTTTTTGAGACAGTGTCTCTCTGTGTCCTGGAACTCCCTCTGTAGAGCAGGCTGGCTTCAAACTCTCAGAGATCTGCCTGTCTCTCCTCCCGAGTGCTGGGATTAAAGGTGTGCACCACCATGACCCCGCATAAAGTTGCACAGATTTATTAACCATCAACTCCACATCTGTTCTTTGTGTGTGTGTGTGTGTGTGTGTGTGTGTGTGTGTGTGTACCTGACCAGAAGGATTTGTTCATCAGCATACACACATCTGGCAAATTCCAGGCCAGAGCTTCACTTAACCTTCTATTGGCTCTGTTTCACCCAAAGCCAGTGCAGTCATACCTACCCCTCCGAATGAGAGATCAAGTTCAAACACTTAAAATAATCAGTCCTTCTCCTTAAAAACTAGCTTTATTTAAAAGACTCTGAAGTAGATTGACACCACAGGAGACAAACTTACGAGTTATTCAAGCAAGCCTGCGTACATCGTTTTCACGAATGGAGTCTACAGACTGACAGCCCTTACACAGCACACAGACGACACACTGAACACGATGGTGACAGGAACATGGGCAGACGGGGAAATAGAGTCTCTGCTCATCTTACGACTTTAGCATAAAACACTAATGTGTGGAAGACATATGCTCAATGTTCAACTCCAGACAGTGGGTGGAGCAGAAGGGAGGAAGTGTACAGGCTTAATATCTCTGGGGAGGGATATTTATAACTGAGAATGTAATAGACTTAACACTTGGAAGCCTTTTAAAATCTATCCACATTTGACCAAATTCAACCACGCTAGTTTCAATTTATTTGAAAAGTGTAACCCGTGTGTAGTCCACGCAAAGATAATAATTTGGGATGATCCATTAGTTACTTTATCATTGTTGTTGTTGTTATTACTATTATTGTACTGTTATTTTGAGTCTGGGTCTCACCTTGCACCTATAACCCACTCACTGGTCTATAACTCACTGTGAAGACCAGGCTGGCCTCAGATTTGCTGAGATCCTCCTGCCTGTTCCCCATTGCCGAGAGAAAAGGTGTGTGCCACCACGCCTGGCCCTGCACACTTTATTCATTCATAGTACCGCCTTAAAACTCTATGATTTAAACAGAAGTATACTCAACTCTCAAAAATTTAGACTGTTTTCCAAATATTAGACAAAAATATACTCTTAAGATGTGGCACTAAACTTTTTAACACACACACACAATAGGCCTATGAGGGTATGGCCATTCACGTCAAATAGAATGGAATCATGACACCACGTGGAGTCTTTAAGACTGGATGAGAGTTCTGGCTGTACCATCCGATAAACAATGAAAGCACACGCTATACCGTGACCAGCATACTGAGCTCTGGTGCAGCCTCAGAAAGATGCGCATACATACACACTCACTTGGAAAAATATCCACTGGGTCAGGAAATCCTTTCAACTCAAGCAGTTCTGGTTGATAAAGTCTAAACTGGAATATTTTAGAAAGAGATACAACTTAAGTACACATCAGCATTTATTTTTACTTTAAGCATATTATTTCAAATATGCAACTTTGCAATGTCCAAATATTTTTTATTTGCTACCACCTCTTTGGGTACCAATTTTAATGATAAAGACTTACTTAAAAATATGCATTTATGGGAGGGGGCGGAAACTTTTTTTTCTTATTCTCAATAAAAAAAAAAAGAAAGAAAAAAAAAAGGAAAAAAAAATATGCATTTATGGGCTGGAGAGATGGCTCAAAGGTTAAGAGAACTGACTGCCGTTCCGGAGGTCCTGAGTTCAATTCCCAGCAACCACATGAAGGCTCACACCCATCTATAATGAGATCTGGTGCCCAGAACACTATATACATAATAAATAAATTTTTAAAAATGCATTTATTAAGAAAAGAAGAATAACAAGAAAAAAAAAGAAAAAAAAGGAAAAGAAAAAAAATGCATTTATTTATGTTATGTGTCTTTGTGTGTGTGTGCAGATGTCTGCAGAGGCCAGAAGAGGGTTTGGATCCCCTGGAACTGGAGTTACAGGAGATTATGAGCTTCCTGACTTCAGTCCTGGGAACTGACCTGGAGTCCCCTGAAAGAGCAGCAAGCATTCTCAAGATCTGAGTCATCTCTCCAGTTCCAACAAAGAATGTTTTTAAACTAGTGTTCTTAAATAAGTACTTTGAAAATAAAAAATGAAAATGTGCTTTCCTGGTTCAATATTTTTAAATCATGATTATGACTTTCATTATCAGATCCTGCCATCAGATAGATACAAACTAAATAGCATCCATGTTCTGTTCATGGTCACAAAATTTAAGCAATCAGAGGGTTTTGTTTTTTCAGTTTTTCGAGACAGGGTTTCTCTGTGAAGCAGTCCTGGCTATCCTGGAACTCACTCTGTAGACCACACTGGCCTTGAACTCAAAGGTGTGCACCACCACCACCTGACTGAGAGGAGTCTTATTATTTTAATAACTGTCTTGATTACCTCAGTAAATTCTTAATTAATAAAGATTGGTGACTGTTGCCGTATTTCGGTTATGTTGCAGTGAATATTGCTCTTAGCTGTGAGCCATCAGCGGGTGTCCGCTAAGAGAATGCCTCAGGAATCATCCCTGCAGGCGGAAGGACTCTCTCCTCTCCATACAGTCTCGCTACATAGCCGAGGGTCGTATCCAACTCCAGAGTCTCCAGGCTCAGGTTCTGAACCCTAGGATTAGGAATTTACGCTACCACGCTGGACAGGTGAATACTTTAAGATGTATTTATTGTATTATGGATGCCATGAGCTGCTAACACCGTTTACTCCTCCCATGCCTCAAAGACTTGAGAGCCTTTACTAACTCACCTGTAAACACTGGTGTTTCTCTTATTTCACAGAGTAGATTAAAACATACCAGCATATGAAATAATTAGAATTACATAGTAATTTCCTTTGCCATAGGAATAAAGGTTGGACAAAGTCTGGAAACTTTTATTTTTCCAATTTGAATTACAGTCATTTTGCCACAGATCACAGCACTGGTGTATGTATGACTTAAGACACACACTAAGAACAAAAGGACAACCTACTGCAAAATACATGTCAGCAAAATACATGTCACCAATGTGGAACACACTTGAGTTTGTATAAAGGTACTGAGCTGATATCCCAAAAAGAGGCATATGTCAACAGTACACAGGGAAGATAGTTTTAATATGAAACAATTGTTCAAGTCACATACATCATGATAAGAAGCAGGACTCTTTATATAAGATAACATGTAACTAACAAGCAACACCACTTACCACAGAACAAGAGGTACATACATGTACTTAGAGACATGTTGATAATAACTGCAAGTCACGTGTTAGTGGGAAAACAGGACACAGGCGAGGTCTCCCACGGCTTTTACTGAGTTTCTCATTACTCGCAGGCAAGTGTCCCACGTCTTGAGGCTTTGGCTTATACGTGGCCACCTTCATCCGTCTCCCTTTGACCATCTGCCCTGGGATATGTGAGGGCTCTTTCTGGCCTCGGTGCTCCAGAGCCTCAGAACTCCTGTCCCAGAATTTACCAAGAATCGGTAAATGCGGACATGATTTTACACTGTTCTCTTGAGTAAGTGGAGAAGACAGGAAGAGGAAGTTGTTGAAATCTGGGGATGAGAACAGAACCTCTGGGCTCAGGAAAGCTGTGAAGGTCCAGACTTTTCTGGAGGAAGTAGTCCAAAGACAGGGGCAGCTGATTTGCAAAAAATACGCCTGGGACTGGGCCAGTCTGAAATGTTAGATGTTATAGTCTGAAGACTCTTCGCAAAAGGAAATGTAGCGTCACATTCTCCATATCTCAGGAGGAAAGGCTCTTCTCTTAAAATCTAGCCACCCAACACCACACGATGAAGTCATTTCCTTCTTTCCAGACAGTCTTCCGTAGCCCAGGCTAGCCTCAAACTGGCTCTACGTAGCTGAGGATGACCTTGAGTTTCTGTTCCTCCTCCCAAGTGCTGGGATTTCAGGTGGGTACACTGCGTCCTGTTTTTGTGTGGTTCTGGGGATGGGACCTGGGTTTCATGAATGCTAGGCAAGTACTGTACTAATGGAGCCACATCCCCAACTCACAAAGCAACTTCTGATCGGAGCAAAGGCGGAGAAGTTGGAACATTCTAGAGGGAAAAAGACAAACCTGCTTCTACAGCAGATGCTAAGAGGGCAACTAAGAATCACCCATGCCAGTAAACATCGCCTTCCCTAACCACAGAGGAAGGACGGGAGATCACAGTTTCTCTCTCTTACACAGACATGATCATGAGCCTCATGAGGTCCCTAGGAACCTAACTATCTCACACCGACTTTCCAACTATTATTTACAAATGAGCTGTGAGTCTGGTTGATTTTCAACTTTTTGAATTAGAAAAGCCTAAGACAGCACAAATGTACCTGCACACAAAACCTCTCTACATTACAAAAAGGAAGTTCTACACACTTTAGAAGACCCCTTTAAAACGGCCGCTTGCTCATCGGCTTCGTGTTCTACCAGCCCGAGGACGGGAGAAACATTGGCGTGCTAATTTGTTCAAGTAAGTTTGAAAGACTGTTAGACGAGGATGCCTGGTACTTTTTTAGGATGATATCAATCAGATTGCACGGTGACCAGTATTACTAAGAGTTCTTTCTATCATTAGGCAGAGTTGGATGTCTGAAAAACAAAAGAAAGCAAAACTCAAAACCCGACTGTCATCTAAATTATATGCTGCTTACCTACAAAGAATAAACACCAGAGAAGTAAAGCCTCATTTCCTGTATGTATGGAACCTTCCAATCCGGGTGACAAGGACCACAGGAGCACTAATGTTCCATCCCAGAGGAAGACACTGATCACAAATTTATTCTGAGCACTCTATTTGAAGACAAGTTTATTTTGATAAGCTAAATTGCTTCAGTATTTGCATATCCTGGGATCTCTGAAGCATGTGGACCAGAAACCCTCTAGTGAAAAAGCAAGGAAACCTCCCAGAAAAGAGCAAATGCTTTTTTTCTTTAAAGGTTTATCATTATTATTTCTCTGTGAGTGCTCCATGTTTCAAAATTCACACACAGGGCTGGAGCGGTGGCTCAGGGGTTATGATCACTGGCTGGTCTTCCAGAGGATCCAGTTTCAAATCCCAGAATCCACAGGGAGGCTCAAAAGTCACATACACATGCACCACCCTCGGTGGCCAGAAGAGGGTATCAGATCCCCTGTGCCTGGAGTTACAGATGCTTGGGAGCTAGTGAGGGTGCTGGGAGCAGAAGCTGGGTCCTCTAGAGCAGCAGATGCTCTTAACCACTGAGCCATCCAGCCCCGGAACTGATGCTTTAAAGCCTCATCAATAACCTGGCCTTGTTGCGTGAGCCACAGTGTTAACAGTGAGCTTAAAGAAGTAGAGTGAGGGGGAGGCCTCTCAGTGAAGCAAAGGGTTATACCAGAAAACACACCTCTACCCGTACTTCTTCATCTCTGGCATATCTTTAAAGATGGGAGCTCTTCATCCTAAGAAAATCCATGTCAATCTGTGTAGCAGGCATCTTTGGGGAAATGAGACAAAATCTCTGAGCCATGCTCATAATTTATCACATTTTTTCTTTCTTTCTTTGGCTTTTTGAGACAGGGTTTCTCTGTGTAGCACTGACTTCCTGGAACTCGCTCTGTAGACCAGGCTGGCCTCGAATTCACAGAGATCCACCTGCCTCTACCTCCTGAGTGCTGGTTAAAGACGTGCACCACCACTGCTGGGCTGAATACATCACCAAAAGCATCTATATACGTTTTATAAATTTTGACTTAGTATTTTGTAGAGACAGATATAGAACTAGTATGAAAATTAATTCAAACCTGTGAAGATATTCGTCAGCTATGATTACAGCTTGTCCATGACTCACGGCTGAAACAAATGTGGGGCTTTTCTTTCCTTTTTCTCCTTTCTTATTTATTTATTTATTAAGATAGGGTCTCACTATGTAGGCCTGGGTGTCCTGGAACTCACAGAGATCCTCTTGTCTCTGTCTCCAGTGGCTTGTCTTTTCTTTCTTGTTTTTTTTTTTTTGTTTGTTTGTTTTTGTTTTTCTAGGCAGGTTTCTCTGCGTAGCCCTGGCTATCCTGGAACTCACTCTTTAGACCATCTCAAACTTAGAAAGATCCTGCTGCCTGTGCCTCCCGAATGTTGGAATTAAAGGTGTGCACCAACTGGTTTTTCTCATATTCTTACCGTGGTGTCTGGTAAATGTAAAATACTTGAAACTCATCTGTATTTTTTAAAGCAACAGCTCAGAAATAAAGTGAAATATCACCTTATACGTCACATCCCTAGACTTCATTTAGAGAGGTCATTTCATCTTCACAAAGACAGCTAACCACTGAGACCATCAGCAATGAAGGGCTTACAGAGCTGCATAGCCCACTGTAAACAATGACCTAATCAACACTACCACAATGAAGCGTAAGTCCTGAGGGCACTGGCCATGGTGCCCCATTCAGTCAGAGACAGGACCTAACGCCAGGGATGAACACATAACATGAAGTAGATAATTCCTCAAAAGTCAGGACTCAAGGGGCCAGAGATGGCTCAGAGATTACAGTATGCATGCGTACTGCTCTTGCAGGGACCAGAGTTTGGCTTCCAGTAGCCACCACAGGCTGCTCACAACTGCCTGTCACTCCAGAAGACCTGATGCCCTCCTCTGGCCTCCATGGGTGTTACATGTATGTGCACATACCCATACACAGATAGAATTAAAAACAAAATAAATCTTCAAAGTCAGCACGCAAAAGAATTTCAAGAAAAACAAAACCAGATCTTTAAACACTGAGAAACTTAACTAACAAAAATAACAGCCTGAGAATACGGGGCACATTGTCCTGGACACCAGCACATGGCGGCCAGCCCCCACCCTGTACCTAGCTTTCCACAACTGCTCGTTTGCACACGAAGAGACATTAGCTACAAAACTCATTGTCTGTGAACGTATATATTATAGGATCGCCCAAGGGTAGACGGAGAAAACCTTGCATTATCTTGTACAAAACTGTCTTGTATGTCAAAATTAAATCATTGCATTTTATATATATATATTTTTTGTTTTTTCGAGACAGGGTTTCTCTGTGGCTTTGGAGCCTGTCCTGGAACTAGCTCTTGTAGACCAGGCTGGCCTCAAACTCACAGAGATCCGCCTGCCTCTGCCTCCCGAGTGCTGGGATTAAAGGCGTGCGCCACCATCGCCCGGCTTTTATATATCTTTTTTATTTTCCCCTCACCCCAAAGCACTATGTTTTTTTTTTAAAAAAAGTTTAAGTCAGTGATAATCTACATCACAAGCACTGCTTTCCACCAACAGGATATTAAATGTCTAATATTCAAAAAATCCATAATTTTGTTATCTACATAAATTATTCAAATCCTATAGTTACTACTACTTAATTGGGGAATTGTTTCTTAGAAAATGGGCAGATGATGAAAAGCTAGCCTTCCATTCAATAATGGTCTAGGGATGTGGATAGGTGACAAAGTTCACAGTGAAGCCAGTTAACTGTGCCTTGGTGCTTTGAGACACGTGAGGTACGGTCCACCTGTGTCAAAGTATGGTTCTATTCATTAGAAAAAAGATTTTTCAAGTCAAAATATCTCTTGAATTTATTTACTCTTCTATGTATAGGAGTTTTGCCTGCATGAATGTCTGTGTACCACATGTGTGCCTGGGGTGGAGGTCAGAAAAGGGTGTGGGATCCTCTGGAACTAACTGGAATTATAGATGGTTGTAAGCTGCCACATGGGTGCTGGGAATCAAACCTGCGGCCTTCAGAAAAGCAGCTCAGAGTTAAGAGAACTCTCTTGGGCCCTACATCAAAAATCTCTGCATACTTTTAGGTTTCTCGATAATGTGTAGCTGCTGTCATTTTCTCTCCTGTGAAGCTGACTGTAGTAACTGTCTCCTTAGATTATCGCCATAGCATTCAGAATTTTGCATTTTTTAATGTTTTCATTGTATTTTTAAGATTTTTTTATTTTACATGTATCTGTGCATGCGGGAATTATGTATGGGCACCTTGTGTGTGCAGTGCCCACAAGGGCCAGAAGAGGGCATCAGATCCCCTGGAACTGGAGATACATGCAGTTGTGAGCTGACCAATTTGGGTTCTGGGAATAGAGCCTAGGTCCTCTGCAAGAACAGTAAGAGCTCTTGTCTATAGAGCAGGCTACCGGTCCCACATTCAGAACTTCTTATGGTCACGCTGATAATGAATGAATGGCAAAGCATTATTGGGGAAGGTTATCAATACCCCACCAATGTCTAAGCTGCTACCTACTGTCATATAGACCATTTGTTTATTGTGGTCACAGGTTATGATCTGCTCCTTAAATGCATGTGTCCCTTTGGATCTTAGAGCATCCCTTTAGAGGGAACGTCCTCTCCGGTGCATTCTCTCACTGTCCCCAGTTACAGCAGAAACTACTAAGCCTGAAGCACAGCCCCAAGTAACTTTTGACTTTGGATCTCCCCTGGTCTTCCTTAAAACAGACTTTGAACTCTGCTTAGGTTCCTTTTGCAAGCTCAGATCTCCAGAATCCCCGAAACCACCACTGCTTGGTTCTCAGAGCAGCAGAGCACAGAGCACGCTAAGATCACGCCGATGCTTCTGTTTTTCTCTGTGCAGCATGTCCCAGTTAAAAAGCATGTAGAAGAAAGAGCTCACAATTCTAAAGCTACTACATCATCATATGGGGGACATTAACAACAACACAACAGCAAAAAAAAAAAAAAAACCAATAAGTTAAAAACTGAGAGTGTAATGCCAGCCTAATTCTCACCGGGGCACTGGGAAGCATACCTTATGCTAACGTTACTAAGTGAGCTAAGATTAGCATTTTCACGAGGCACAGCCCACCGGTAATTAGCAACTACTACTGGGAATAGACTATGACATGACCCATGTCTGTCTGTCCTACACAGATATCCTGCAAAGACTGATTCAAACAATGAAACTTGCAGATTTCAAAGACCCTCACAGAGGAAGGATCAGGTGTCAAGTACTAACGTTAAAATAATAATAAAAAAAATATTAAAATCCATTAAACATACACCTCCCCATATTATCACTACACAGATTGTATTCAGATAACACGTTAAATCAGTCTACTCTTGACCTAAATGTGTACTGTCGTATGGTCGAAATTTAGCGGTGAAATAGATATCTTTAATGACTAAGTTGTGAAAGTTAAAACTTGCCTACCTTTGTCATATACTATTTTGAAGCTTCAAGAGGCTTTAATGTTTATGATAAATAACAACGAACATTTATTTATAGGTGTCTCTAGGGCACCCACACACACATTAATCTCATTTAAGACAGCAAACCCAACAATAAAATGAAGCACAACGTTAGTAAGAACTAAGATGTAGTATTTTTGTGTGTGCCATCTCAAAAAATGTCGAACATTAAAATCCCATGTCACCAAATCTCCGTTCTACACAGAAAAAGGAACCCACGGTAGGCAACAGCCGTGGTTAGGAATCGCCACCCACTGCAGGTGGACCAAAGGCTTCTCTAGTGCGCATGAGCTGGACATCCTTGTCCGCCATGCACGTATCGCAGCCCCACACTGCCGAGGCCTCAGCCGTCAGGAGCCCGTAGGCTGTCTCCGTCATTCCAGTGCAGATGCGATGAAACCATTTCTGACAAGAGGCCTCACACAGGATGGCGTCCTGGTCGTCATTCACTTCATTCGTACAAATCCCACACGGGTACACCGGGTCAGAAGACGAATGGCCATGGCGGCTGGGGTGCAGGGAGAACTTGCGGCTTTTGTCGGTGGTGCACAGGTCGGCTGACCCCCTGGGCTGCCGAGGCTTGTTCTGGGTCCCATTGGCGTGGCTGTTGGTGGCCTCTGCACTACCCGAGCGGCTGTTCTCTTGCACGGCATTGTTTCTGTTGACATTTTTTAATTCAGCGTTACTCTGATTGACTGGGTCCTCCATATTTAAGTGAGGCGGGTGAGCGGAGGAATTCTGACTCGTGGTTTTGGTTGCCCCTTGGGGAAAGTCTTGTTTGGGAGGTGGAGCTTTCGCTTGACCAAACGCGTTTGGGGGTGGAATAAAAGAATGATTAGGTTCTAACGGAGAGGTAAAATTTGAATTATTTCCAGGGACAAAATTAGATGCCAGGTCAGGGTTAGATACCTGGCCAGGATTCTGTGGGGGAATCTGACTGAAGTTCTCGGCAGAGCTCTGTCTAAAATGCTGACCAGGCATGTTCATGTCCTGAGTAAGCACATTATTGTAAGGAGGGTTTCCGAAACTCGGATTATCATGTGGCCCGAAGTTAAAAGCATGCGGCCGGTTAAAGCCCATGCCCAAGGGATTCTGAGGAAATGGATGTGGTTGATTCCTGAGTGAGTAAGGGCCACAGTAGGGGGAAGACATTCTTGGGGGGACGTGGGGTGGCATTCTGAATGTGCTGTAGCCTCCGAAGCCGGGATAACCGGGGTTAAGGTAGGGATTGGACGAAGGCAGTGGTTTATAGGAAATAGTGTTATAGTTGTCATCGAAGGGGTTGGCGGCCACTAGATGGTCGGAGTTTGGATTGGGTGGTGGTGCATACTCAGACAATGGAGGAAAGGAAGGTCCCTGCGAAGAGAATGCAAAGGAAAAATAGTCTTGATGCAAGAGGTCAGGTTAACAGTTGCTCTCAGCACCCAGAACCTGGCTTTCTCTTACAGCACTAAGAAAATTTAGTATTTTCAACTACCATCCCAAATGTTTATACTTAATTACATGTGATATAGTATATATTATCACATGTAATTAAGTAATATATATATGTGTATATATATATATATATGGCTGGAGAGATGAGTGAGTGTTTAAAAGTACTGACTGCCTTTCTAGAGGACCCAAATTTGTTGCCCAGCATGTGGCTCACAACTATCTGTAAGCCCAGCTTCAGGGGATCTGACGCCCTCTTCAGGCCTCTACCAGCACTGCATACCCACAATATCACACACAGATACAAAGAATCGAAAATCAAGTTAAACCATTTTAAAAATAGATGTTTAGGAATGGAAATGAGGCATGCTTTTCTACCTCAAACCCACTGCTATTTCAAATTCCATTTAACTCTCAAAAAAAGCCTATCATTGGCTGGAAAGATGGCTCATCTGTTAAGAGCACTGGCTGCTCTTCCAGAAGACCCCGGTTCCATTCCCAGCACTCATGTGGTGGCTCACAACTGCCTGTAACTCCGGATCCAGGGGATCTGATGTCTCTCCTGGTCTCACAGGCACCAGACATGCATGTGGTACACAGACATATATGTAAACCGTCACTCATACACATGAAATAAAAACATCATTTTTAAAAAAATCTTTATTTTATGTGCACTGATGTAAAGGTGTCAGATCCTGAGTTACAGACAGTTGTGAGCTGCCATGTGGGTGCTGGGAATTGAACCTGTGTCTAAAAACATCATTTTTAAAAAGCCTACCACAGCTTTCATGTATCGCTTGTCTAAAGCTAAATTCTCTCTTAAAACACTAAAGTGTTCTAATCACAACTCTTCTTACCCCCAGCCAGAAAGCTGGATAACAGTAAACAGAGTCCAAGGGCTCCCCTCTTTTTTTTTTTTAAATGTCAAGGGAGCCACAATTAAAGCATTCTCAAAGCTCTAGTCTCTACCTCTCTTAATAGAAAAACAATTGTTACGGCTTCAGATATAACAGAGAGTGGTCAGAAGGGAAACAAAATAGAATAGATTCAAAGTAACGCCTACTCATTATCACCAGAGAGTACTTCAGTTGATAGCAACTGAAACCATAAAGTAGGGCCAGAGAGAGGGCTCAGTGCTCTGTGCTGCTTGGGCAGAGGACTGGGGTTTAGCTCCAAACACCCACACAGGGGGCTGGAGAGATGGCTCAGCGGTTGGGAGCACTGGCTGTTCTTCCAGAGGTGCTGAGTTCAATTCCCAGCGGCCACATGGTGGCTCACAGCCATCTGTGGTGAGATCTGGTGCCCTCTTCTGACCTGCAGGTATACATGCAGGCAGAACACTGTATACATAATAAATAAATAAATCTTTAAAAAAAAAAAAAAACACCCACACAGCACCCACAACCATGTGTAAATCAGTTCCAGGTGATTCAGTGCCCTCTGCTGGCTTTCCAAGGGTACTGCACACACATGGTACACAGACCATGTACATGTTGCATGGTACATGCAAACACTCATACACATATAAATAAAACCATGAACAAGCAAATAAATTGAAAAGCATAAAGGCCTACATGTATAATTTTTATTACAACCACGAGTTACAACAAAGGAGACTTTCTCTATGATTAATTACTTCATGGTAGCCACACAATATTGATTTCTACAATAGCAGAGCAATTACTTCAAGTTAAAATTATTTAAAAATCTTTACACAGAAGTACAGGATAGACTGACAAGCAGCACAGGGAGTGCAGAACCCTTCATTAGGCACTGAAGCAGACAGGAGGCAAAGGACCTGGCCAAATGTAAAAATTCACTTATCCGTCTGACCAGGCCAACAAGTGGGAACTGTGACTAAGGAGAACATTGGGTCTGCAGAGACGGCTCGGTGGCTAAGAGCTTTCATTGCTTTTCCAGAGGACCCAAGTTCAGTTCTCAGCACACATATCAGTTGGCTCCCAACTGCCTGTGACTTAGATAGGACACCCTCTTCTGGTCTCCCTGGGTACTGCCCTCACATCTCACATGGCACACAGACACACACAAACAAACAGACCTTAGAAATAAATAAACAAATAATTTTAAAAGAAAAAAGAAAGTCAATTTACCTGTGCACTGCCCTTGCGTTTTTTCTTATCTGGGCTTCCTAGTTGTATATTTGGTCCTCCTAACCCATCCAGTCCACTGTCACCACCTACAAAAAAAAAAAAATACTGATAATATTCCCACTTGGAAGTGAAACTGTTTAATATATCTCATGGCAATTTTTTTTTTCAAGATAGGGTTTCTCTGTGTCACAGCCCTGACTCTCCCGGAATTTGCTTTGTAGATCAGGCTAGCTTCAGACTCACAGATCTCTGCCTGCCTCTGCCTCCCAAGTGGTGGGATTAAAGGCGTGTGTCACCACTGCCTGGCACATCTCATAGTAATATTATTAAGGCTGGATACAAAGAGGGGAAATTATGGGACAGGAAACTGGGAAGGAGCCCCTGCCCGTCATCAGCTGCTGCAGGCAGTCTTCCTTCCAAGCTCTCAACGCCTTTGCTGCTCTATTGGCTCCTGGTTGCCCGTCATCAGAGTATAATTTCACATAAGACATCTCTGGAACATCCTATAATTTCACTTACAAAAGACAAAGGAAAAAGGATGAACAAAAGGATTGTAGCAAACCTTCTGAGACATAACGAGAACCACTAAAATGGCTTATATAACGAAGGCAAAGATGATGGATTGTGCTCTCCCTCAAGGGGCCCATGCACACCCTTGGGCGAGTCAGCAATTTTTTTTATTGATTTTTTTATTGAGCTCGACATTTTTCTCTGCTCTCCTCCCTGCTTCTCCCCTCCCTCTTCAATCCTCCCCCAAGGTCCCCATGCTCCCAATTTACTCAGGAGATCTTGTCCTTTTCTACTTTCTACTTCCCATGTAGATTAGATCTATGTAAGTCTCTCTTAGTGTCCTCATTGTTGTCTAAGTTCTCTGGGATTGTGATTTTTAGGCTGATTTTTCTTTGCTTTATGTTTAAAAACCACCTATGAGTGAGTACATGTGATAATTGTCTTTCTGTGTCTGGGTTACCTCACTCAAAATGATGTTTTCTAGCTCCATCCATTTTCCTGCAAAATTCAAGATGTCATTATTTTTTTTCTGCTGTGTAGTACTCCATTGTGTAAATTACCACATTTTCCTTATCCATTCTTTATTTCAGGGACATTTAGGCCCCCATGACAAACACGGTCCAGTCATTCCCAGTTACTGTGGAGAATGTGTCTCACCAAAATTTTTTTAAAAATCCACTGCCTGCTATAAAAAAAAACAATACTGTTCTGGATGATCAAATAAATGTGGAGGATGAGTCAAAAACTCAATTAGGACATAGGAAACATATATTCTGGCAGACTTCTATAAATGATCAGAGACCAAAGCTAAGAGTGTGTATAAATGGCATTTTATTGAATGCCTGCTAGACACGAGTGCGGATGGAACTATTATTACTTCAGAATCTTGGCATCCGAATTGGCCTCTTCAAGAGGTAGATGTTCAGTTCCTAGGAACTGGAGCCCTATCTCGGGTAAAACAAAGCACAAGGTGAGTAGACAGCATTTTGCGGACTCTTAATGACTTTCTAAGATTATTGGGAAACATTTCCAGCCTACAACCAGCTGTTGGGATAACAGCTGACCTAATAGTTCATTTAAATAAAACCTTAGATGGTGATAAAGACTTAAATAGTCCCAGAAAATTAACAGCTGAAGCAGAAAAGGAATTGATAATTGTTGAGAAGTTACAGGAGGCACATGTGGATAGGGTGAATCCAAATCTTAATTGTATTCTAGTCATACTGCCTTTCAGAATTTTTCCTACAGGAATGGTAATGCAGAGGGATGATATTATCTTATAATAGATCTTTTTTTTAACCACATAAACCAAGTAAAAAACTAAAAATTTATATGGAAAAAGTCTCTAATTATAAAAGGTAAATTGAGGCTTTGTCAATTAGCAGGTACAGACCCAGCAGACATTATAGTGCCTTTCACTACTGATGAAATTAAAAAGTTATGGGAAGACAATGAACCATGGCAAAGAGCTTGTGCTAATTTTTTTTGGAGAAACTAATAGCAATTATTATAAGTGATAGACTTAACCTTATAAAGAGAACTTCTTGGATTCTTCCCCAAATTGTACATGATACACCAATAACTGGAGCCTGTACATTCTATATTGATGCAAATAAATCAGGGAAGGCAGGTTACAAATCAGAAGAATTAAGTAATGGTATGGGAGGTTCTTCTGTCTATGTGTTACTTTTATTTGTTAATGAATAAAGAACTGCTTTGAACCTATGGCAGGGAAAAAGAACTAGGCAGGGAGCCGGGCGGTGGTGGCGCATGCTGCCTTTAATCCCAGCACTTGGGAGGCAGAGGCAGGCGGATCTCTGTGAGTTCGAGACCAGCCTGGTCTACAAGAGTTAGTTCTGGGACAGGCTTCAAAACCACAGAGAAACCCTGTCTCGAAAAGCCAGGAAAAAAAAAAGAACTAGGCGGGGAAAGCTAGGATGTATGCAGAGAGAAAGAAGGGCAGAGTCAGAGAGAAGCTATGGAGCTGCTGGAGACAGACGCTGGGAACTTTACCTGGTAAGCCACAGCCACATGGCAATACACAGATAAATAGAAATTGGTTAAATTAATATGTAAGAGTTAGCCAATAAAAAGCTAGAGCTAATGGGCCAAGCAGTTTCTGTGTGATTATTTCGGGTCTAAGCTAGCCAGGTGGCCGAAAACCTACAAGCAGCTCTCCTCCAACAAAGTAAGGTGGAACAAAGCCCTTATAATTCTGTCCAGAAGGCAGAATTATATGCTGTTCTTATGGTACTCAGAGGTTTTAAATAACCTCTCAATATTGTTACTGATTCACAATATGCAGAAAGAGTTGTCTTGCATATTGAAACTGCTAAATTTATACCAGATAATACAAAATTGACTTCATTATTCATTCAGGTGCAAAACATAATTAGGAATAGGCTTTATCCTATATACATAACACACATCTGATTCCATACAGGTCTGCCAGGTCCTCTAGCACAAGGTAATGCAGAAATTGATCAATTATTGATTTAAAGAATATTGCAGGCCTCAGGATTTCATTAAAAACATCATGTCAATAGCAAAGGTTTAAAGAAAGAGTTTCCTATTACATGGTAAAAAGCTAAGGAGATTATAAAGAGATGTCCTACTTGCTCTTTCTATAGCCAAACACCGTTGCCAGCAGGTACTCAAAGGAATGAAATCTGGCAGACGGATGTGTTCCACTTTGCAGAATTTGGTAAATTAAAACACCATAGACATGTACTCAGGTTTTATTTATTAAACTGCCTTGAGTTCAGAAAAGGCTGACTCAGTAATCATGCATTTATTAGAAGTTATGGCCATCATGGGTATTCCTGCACAAATAAAGACAGACAATGGTCCAGCTTATGTATCTAAAAAAAATGAAATGAGTTTTTGCCTATTATAAAACACATTACAGGTATACCAAATAATCCCACAGGTCCAACAATTATAGAAAGATAAAATCAAACTATAACAGATATGCTAAACAAACAGAAAAGGATGGAAAATACCCCCAGAAATAGATAGCATAATGCTTTATTAACCTTGAATTTTCTTAACACTAATGAGAAAGTAACAACAGCAACAAAGAGGCATTGGATAATGGAAAAACTTCTAAATTAAATCAACCAGTGTATTTCAAAGCTATGTTGACCTCACAGTGGAAACCAGGAGATATGCTACATTGTGGAAGGGGTTTCACTCGTATATATATTCGCTCAATATATATATTGCACTGGTTTTGGAGTTGAACAATGGCTCTGTTTCTCTCTAAATCCAAGCGTGTTATTAAAAGGAACATTCAGAGTTTCTGTCTCATATCTGGAGCCATCTGGTATGGGACAGAAGGAAGACATTAGGAAAAATTTCACTTTCTCCATGTCTATTTTGTCTATATCATATTCCGTATTGAATTATGTCTCTATGAATAATGTTTAAGTTTTCCATGATGCACAATAGACTTTCCTACAGATCCTTTTCCTGCAGTAATCTTTGAAGTTTTCAGGAAGAAGATGGGGCCCCACAGCAACCACTCCACCTGGTTGAGATGACATTGTGATGCTGATAGCGTTACTATAAGACCAATTTTTGGGTACCAGCTGCTGAAATGGTGCACCTTCTCATGACGTCTGCCCAGAACTCCAAATAAGAAGTCTGGAAAAAACCCTACCGACTGCTTGGAAATTGTTTGCAACTATACTAAATAGTAATCTTAAAACTTAATCATCAATTTACTTTTGTAGGATCCCATAAAGAAAACATCGCCCCCATGACAGTGGGAAGCAATTCTAGAGGACAATGCCCCCTCTCCCAAAACAATTTGTCCTCAGAGTTGGTTACACCGTTTAAGGGTTGTTGATTGTTACAGGTAGAGGGTTGGGGTGGAAACCATGTTTATTCCAAAAAAAGGATAATAATAATGGGTAATAGAGTAAATACTTGTGAGCTATTATTTATGGATAATTTACATTGGTATAGTTTTTTTTAATTTATTTATTATGTATATAGTGTTCTGGGCACCAGATTTCATTCTAGATGGGTCTGTGTCATCATGTGGTTGCTGGGAATTGAACTCAGGACCTCTGGAACAGCAGTCAGTTCTCTTAACCTATGAGCCATCTCTCCAGCCCAGGTATAGTTTTTTATATATTGCTTAATATTGCTTATGTTGTTTGTAATTTTATACTTGATATTTGTTCCTAGTGTATATAGTTTTGTATTGGGTTTGGATCACTCTTGTTCAGACAAAAGAGGGAGATTATGGGGGAACCTTGTTAGTCACTCATCTTTAAAAAGTGGGTCTTAGTTATGCATGGCTTCGATGAGCCCAGGGTAAAATGTGTGCACCTCCAGATGCGCTTTCTCACTGTGCCTTTTCCCGTGGGACGTTGCTGTGCTTGGATTTCTCGCCTCCTGTCTCATGAGTTTTCCCCTTATAATAAATAAAACTGTTTTATACTTAGCTAGCCTGGTTGTTTCAACATATTACTATTTTATGTGTGTACATGATATATTTATATTTGGAGAGGTCTGAAGGCATACCACAGGATGTGTGTGGAGGTCAAAGGACAACTTGGGAGTTGGT